CTCGTGGGATTTGGTGCAAGCACCTTTGACCTTCCCAAATGAGAGAAATGTAAACCCCATGAAAATGACATTTGCCTAAACGTAGGGTCTCTTATGGATACCATACCCTTATTTCGATGAATAGGATACGCCCATCTTGCAAAGACCAAAATTGTGGAAAAATTCCATTATGAAGTGTTCTCAAATATGACTCCTCTCAGAAAAAGAGCCTACCAGGATGCTTCCACAAATTACATCAACCTCCCCACAGAACCATGCTATCTGCACTGCTCTCTCTCCCACCCATCCCCTCTTTTCTCACACTGGTTTGAGGGAACCAAGTTGAAAACTATACTCCTGCATTCTTTTGTCTGTTCCATACTTTCCCTTTGAACCCATGAGTATGTTACAATGAGGTATTTCCACCTAAAAAGTATGTCACCTTGAGATTTTTACCAAATTGAGTACACTATTGACATATTATGTATAATTACCTCTGCTATAGTATGATGAATAGCAATAGCCACAGTCATGTCCACAAAAAGTACTTTTACAATAGTGTAAAAAAATTACTCATGTAACATCATTCCAGCAAATAAGTCTTTGTAACCCTACTATAAACTAAGCTAGTTCCAAACCTTTTTATCCAAAAAACTTCAGGAATTCTAGTTGTCTATCCTGGAATAGAATCACCAAAATTATACAAAAGAAACAAATAATATAAATAGCTCAAATTTGAAGCCAGATTCCCAATTGACCAAGAAAAAATTCCACACCTGCAATGTGAAGCCACTTGAACATCGTTGCCTATCAAATTCGAAATAAAGGTTATGTCCTGTAAGTCATGAAGAACAATCAGAAGTTTCATTCCAAATTGGAAAACAAGACACATAAAAACAAGAAATCCACCAAGCAGAAATTCGTCACCAAAAGATTACCAAGAGTGGCTTGTCCTTGACAACCCCGACTACTAGCCAAGGATCCTGATAGTTTGCTTTGCTGATCTCCTAATAGACCCTCCAAATAACAGGTCCTCTACAAGGGCACAAATTTACAATCAAAAAATTTGGTACTATATGAAAACAAGAATTGAGATACAGTACGCTTCCCATTAGTAAAGCTATCCGTTGAAATATGAAGTGCTATTCATAAGTTCCTCCAATCATACATGATATAAACAAACCCAAAAGTAAGTTCTATGCAATGATCAAAATTTCGTTTTGAAACAACCAAAGCTTTCCGTTTCTATAGAAACCGAATCGAATCGGTGGTTGAACATTCAAGTCAGTGTTATTTAAGGCGTAAAGCGAACCAAAGCGACCAAGGCTCCTAACGCCTAGGCAAGAAGCGAGAAAAGCGAAACGATTTACCGAAACGAAGCAAACAGGTAAAAAATATATATATATTTTAGTTTAATTACTTATACACATCTAAGTTCTAATTTTATACTATATACTAAATATTTAAATGCAAGGGACAACAATCAGCGAGATCAGAGCCTCCAACGTGTCTGTCGATGTGTAGGAACAGAATCAAAATCAAGAAAAAAAAAAAAGAAGCAAAATCTGTGCAGCAAGAAGAAGATCTAGAACCAAAAATGAGAAGAAAAAAAGAGAAATAGAAGAGAGGAAAAAAAAAAGAAAAGAGACTAACCTGTGCAGCGATCAGTCTAGCCTCCAGCGTGAGCAACGACCAGTGAAGAACCCTGTAGGAGCAGCGATCGAGTCTAACGTGAGCAGCGAAGAAATCTGTCAATGCACAGTGAAGAAATCTGTCAATCGAGTCCAGCGTGAGCAACGATATGTAGGAGTCCAACGTGTGCAACGATCTGATTTAAATTAGGGTTTGGATTGTATTTATTTGATAAGGGGATGATTCGATGTATCATATCTTATAAATTTTTTTCCAATTGTCCAATCCAACGGCCCAAATTAAAAATAAAATATTTCGCTTCTAATAACAAAAACGGTCGCTTTTTCGCCTAGCACTTTAAGCATTAGGCGAACGCTTTTCTCGCTTAGTTCACGTTCGCTTCGCCAGGCGAGATAGCCTCTCCTCACTTCGCTTCGCTTCTCGCCTAGGCGAGCACTTTTCACAACACTGATTCAAGTAATATCTTTCAAGGTGTTTGGGAATTTCTCGAGGTGTTTCAGTACGTTTCGACCAATGATACGAAATATTTGAGGTATTTCAAGATATTTTGATATATTTCGAAATATTTTAAAAATAAATCCCCAAATTATTATTCATTTACATTTTGTTTCTAAAATGTTTTCTAAACATTTTCGTTTCCTATACAACCGAAATAATATCAATTTTACCTGGATCGTAGGTCGCTTTGGTACGTAGTACGGGCACAGGTACATGGTACAACACTTTCTTAGGGATGCGGTCTGATAGAGGTTGGTTTAGCATTTTGGGTCACAATTCATTATGAAACTATTATGTAGAACATTTTCACTACTATACAATATTGTATATTACAAAACATTTAAAAATACAAAGTTAGTTACCATTTATCTTATAATTGTGCTTGATTTTTTATTATCTAAAACAATATATAATTATAAATCCATATACATGTAGTCAATTAATATGTATTTTATATTTGTACTGCGTGTTCTAAAGCGAATTAATTTAGGGTTAGTATTACAATTTGGGACCGTCCATTTTGAAGATCTGGATCGTAAACCCACCTCATTTGGGATTGATGTACCCAAATCGTGGGTCGTTAAGAGTTTAGTGAATTGCGGTAACTCAAAATAATATAGTAGAAAACAATATTTTTATCCTTGCTCCAAAGCATCTCGAAAACATAAACCAAAACAATAAAAAGAAAAGTCTACAAATAAAGAACAAAGGAACAGACAGAAAAGCCACTCCGATAAAACCTATGAAGCACAGATACTTTGTCAAGGTCGACGTACTCGTATCGGATATGATAGTCGTCGAATACTCGATGATACGTATCGGATACGCATCATCCTTATCCAATAATTAATAAAATATGTGGATACTTCGCGGATACTTTTAAACATAAAACAAGATGTACAATTTTCAATTTTAAGCTATACCCCTTCTTTAGAGTTCACATACAATATAAAACATCAACAAAATTCCATCTGATTTTGAAGACACGAGTGTTTTTTAAGTATTACCTATTATTATATGTTAAGAGGGTATAAAAAAAATGAGTCACTTACACTATACTTTTAAAAATAAATAATTGTAAAACTAACTAGTTAAATGTTGTTATAATTCTTTTAATTTGTCATGCTCATTTTATGAACATATCATGATGAGACGATATTACAACCTTTTCATGGTAAAAATTTCTAATTATACTAACTAATGTTAAAGAATTATTGAAAATTATAATTTCTAAGTCGTTAAATAATAGTAAAATATAAAATATATTTTATTATAGACGTATCCTGGCCGTACGCGTATCCTGTTTTTTGAAATTTTGTCGTATCATCGTATTCATATCGAATTGTACCCGTGTCACGTATCAGTATCCGTATCCGTGCTTCCTAGATGAAAACATATGGAACAAAAATCTGGTCCGCAAAAAAAATAAACCCAAGGATAATAACACCTTCAGACGAAGTCAGCACCAGGAAATGACAGAAGAAAAGTAAGGAGTATAACAACCATGAACATAAATTGCAGTCAGCTTAAAATGTGCACACCTAATACCATTATCACAGAAAATACAGTTGCCAGCCTCATTGACTTCACACAAACAACAAATTGAAATAACACCAATACCAGTGATATTCTTAACACAATCAAACTTGGAAAAATTTCCAATTGCATCCAAAAAGTAGATGTACATAACATGCCTCTGTAAGTTGATGCACTTGCAAATGCAAACCTGCTTCTGTCTTTCGCCACTCAACTTCTTTCTTACACCAGTCAGCACCCTGCACATACAAGTAAAAAATTTGTAGATACTAACAAGGAGTGGAAACTGGCACCTAGGAAGAATGATAATATTGTCAAACACNACTTCTTTCTTACACCAGTCAGCACCCTGCACATACAAGTAAAAAATTTGTAGATACCAACAAGGAGTGGAAACTGGCACCTAGGAAGAATGATAATATTGTCAAACATGTGTATCAGAAAAGAAACCATGTGACAAATAAGAGTCTGTCACACACACACACGCACCAAATAAAACAATGTGAAACAAGCAGAAGCTTGGGTAAGTGGTATGCAAGAAGCTCAAGTTTGGAAGCAATAACAAACAGTAGAAGGGCCACCCGAAGATTGCTCAAAGTCGGAGTGTTTTCATATCATAATTTGCATATGAAACATCATTCAAAAAAAAAAAAAAAAACAAGAAATCCAAAGAGTAAATTAACCAAACCAACTAGGTTAACCTAAAATAAAATTAGGGATCTGCAATAAGGAAATTGATCAATAGGTTTTATATCATTAAAACTTCAAACACTGGAAAGTCACCAAAAAGAATATAATTCATGACAGAGACAATTGTAGGAAATAGAATTGATCAGCTTCAAATTTCAGGAAACTGATTGTGTCAGACATTGTTGGAAGTGAAAGAACTTGTTAAAACAAAAGTATGATGAGTGAAAACCACTTACGAAAAAAAATGAGTCATGCTCATCTAGGTCTATAATGCAAATGTTAAATTTGCAGTTGTATTGCCTAGATTTTTCTTACCATCTTCTCAAGAGAAGCACATTTAGCTTCAAGTGATCGAACTTTCTGCAAACAAGATTTTGACACGATTAAAAAAATGTCATAGGTTTCTTTTTAAATTGTAGACTACAAACCACTTATGACCTTTTGTAATTCTTCATTAACAGCCACAATCTGCGATGCATAAAGTACTCGAACATCCTTCAACGCGCACTTGCTGTTGCATTGAGGACACTAAATGCCAAGGGAGGAAATCAGAAGTTCAGGAAATAAGTAAATAAATGTGAATTAACCAATTTAAGAAACAAGGAGATAATGGATAATGAACAGTACCTTCCCTGAACTTCTACGTTGTTGTAACCATCTCTTGATACAAGACATACCATATATGTGGCCACAAGGAAGACAACTGCAGTCCTCCAATCATAGAGCAGATGAATAAAAAACTATAAAAGATGCAATTCTCAAATGACTACACAAAAAGATGCACTGCTTCTCAAATGAACAAGATTGTGCAGTGGAACTCTTTTAATCACCTAACTAATTGCACTTGACAATAGCTCAATCTATGTTCATAAAATTATGTGGCCAACTGAAATTGTGTTTTTCAAAATAGTGTACAGTGAAAACTATTCCCCAGATGTTCATCCATGTCAAATTCAGAAATACCAAAATGGGAAGTCCTCTTGTCAATTACATTTAAATTACCTTCTCTGTCAAAGCTTCTTCAAGATGCAATTTAACTCAATTTCTATTCTATTACAAAAGCAATAAACTTTTGCTTTTAAGGTGAAGAAAAGTTTTGCTCACAATGGTGAATATTGTCATCATCATCTTCCTTCAGTTCTCACGCTCAAATCCACATTTTCACACAGGGGAGCCTCAGCAGTCAGCACTACGGTTATATACATGCAAAATGAAATGAAAAGAACGTGTATTCAATATTGCAACCCATCCTCACTAGAGTGCCAACTTGAAAACGAGTCCATCACCCAATAATTCTAAAATCCCTAATCAATCACACATTACAATAAATTATTGAAATTTTTTGGCGCATGCATAGATTGTTGTACACATGCTTGTGATGGTTCTCATCTTTTCAACCTTTAAAAGAAGTCATCTAAAACCATTCAAATTCCAATCGATTCCTAAATCCCAAGTTCCTCGATCCGCTTAATTTCAGTGCTTTATCTCACGTACAAATATATGGATGCATATCCATGATTCAGAGTCCCATAAACGTTGGAAAATTACAGTTAAGAAATAGTGATAGAGTAGTTGTACCGACCAGACTTGATGGTCACCGCCATTGGTCCAAGCCTCCATGCAAATAGGGCAAAACAACCCGTCAATTTCAGTTCTGTTCCACTCTTCTCCACCTTCGACTTTCTCATTCTTGCACGACGACGTTTCACCCCGTTGCGTCCTTTTCTGACTCCCCTCATTCGCTTCATCCGCAGCATTCTCCAAACCCTCACGGCTAAAACTCACCGCCTCTTGATACGACGTCATATTTCCACGACCGCCACGATTGTACGATAAAACCCTAGCTATCGTATCCCCCGAGGTGACGAACCGCGCATAAACTTGGTCGTCGTACTCGCCGTCTTCTTCCGGTTGGTCTTCTTGTTGATCATAGTCGTCATCTTCAGTTTCTTCGTCGTCGTCGACTTCAACGACAACATTTTGCTCTTCAATCAAGTGTTGGACTTGATCGTATCCCTGATATGCTTGCACGTCAAGGAATTCAATGTAATCTGGATCGTCGTCCATTGACACACACACACACACGGGGATAAAGAGAGAGAAAGAGAAAGAGCTCAGAGTGTGTTGCTNTGTAATCTGGATCGTCGTCCATTGACACACACACACACACGGGGATAAAGAGAGAGAGAGAGAAAGAGAAAGAGCTCAGAGTGTGTTGCTTTGGGGTTTGCGCTTTTTCTTCCCCAAAAGTTAGGTCCCCATTATTGGGCACCAAAAGTTGGAGGGAAACTTAAGATTTAAGAAAGAAAGCGTGGCTATTGAAAACCGCCTCTTCAATTATACTTTTCTTAATTTCACTCGATAATAGTGCTATTTGTATTTAATTTATTTATATAATTTATTAATGTAATTTGTCATAATTATTGTGATAATTATTAGTGTCAATAAATATTGAGTCTATTGTCGATCCAATTATAAATAATTAAGTTAATTAATTAGATCTTCTTAGTTCTTACTCAATAGTAAATTATTCACTGCGAATAAAGTCATTCACTGTGTATAAATGAGAGAGCCATTAATAAATAGTGAGTATCGTATGTATTAATAATAAATGAATTAATATTAAAAAAAANGAGAGAGCCATTAATAAATAGTGAGTATCGTATGTATTAATAATAAATGAATTAATATTAAAAAAAAGTTGTAATGAAGAAAATTTATATCCTTAAAACAACTATAGAAGTTTGATGAGACATTTTTTGTGATCAAGGAGGACGAAGCACGTGTCCTCAGCACCTCGGAGCTTCCTGCGAATAACACGTCATCTCGGCACTAAAGGTACCTCGTAATCCTTCACTAAAGACATCTCGGAGCCCTCCACTAAGGGTATCTCGAAATCCACTAAAGACACCTCGAAATCTTCCACTAAGGGTACCTCAAAGTCCACTAAAGGCACCTCGAAGCCCTCCACTAAAGGCACCTCGAAGCCCTCCACTAAGGGTACCTCGAAGTCCACTAAAGACACATTGGAGTCTTCCACTAAGGGTACCTCAAAGTCCACTAAGGGAACCTCGAAGCCCTCCCCTAAAGGCACCTCAAAGCCCTCCACTAAAGGTACCTCGAAGTCCAAGACATGTTGTTCTCGGAGTCCACGACATATTGTCCGCGGAGTACTCTCCACCTAACACATCATATCGGCGCTAAGGCACCTCGGAGTCTTCATCACGTACCATGCATCCTCGACTCCAAAGGCTACTGATTGACAGCTGGTCACTTTCAGAACCAGACTAGGATCACAAGGGTACTCTTCCCAACAAGGTCAGAATGACAGAATGAACAAGATACTCCACCAAGAGGAGTCAGACACGGGGCATGAAGTACAAGCAAGGGGCTGAATGGACAAAAATGTCCTTTCTGACATGCAGTTATCTCAGGCAAGCATTTAATAAACTCAATTGATGGAAAACCCATGATGGCTCTGAAAGCCTAGAGGAAGTAGCATTAAATGCTCTAGACCCGAGCATTTAATAACGGGGCCTCCCCATGCAAAGTAAGAGGCACACTGCCCTATGTCTGGATACTATCTACTGCGTAGGCCATCAGTAATGATGGGTCTTTGGAGGTATAAATAGTCCTCAAAAAATACAGTACAAAGGTACGCAAAATCACCTCTCAAGAACTCCAAACAGTATTTTTTTCTTCCCCTCTCTCAAAGAGCTGACTTGATCGTCTGAAAGGATACGCCGAAAAATACTCTGACGCCCTTCTAACTTGCTTTATGTGTTCCAGGGAATCCCTTGCGAAGCCACCAGAATCCGTTCAGCGATCCCATGAATAATTCATCACCACTCCTTAGGCCCCCTTTGGCCTTCTCAACTCATTCCTTATTGCCGGATCCACCATCTCGACAAGTCGGAGCTCACCGTGGGAGAGATCTGTTCCAGTTTCATCTATTGTGCTAAAAAACGCCCGCACAAAGTTGAAACATTTTTTTTCCTCTCCAAGCCGACTCATTGTTCACTTATTACAAAAAAAAGTTTTCTAGGTTAAACACATTTATGGTCTTTTAAGTTTTATAGGATTGTTAAACCACAGCGTGACAAAGAGATTCAGGTTTGAATTAGATTGTGTTAAACGAGCAGACTGCATAAAGGTCATAAAGGATGCATGGAGAACAAATACAACACAAGGGGCTATGAGGACTATTACAAAAATATTCAAAATTGTTGCATAGGCCTTCTCAAACAGAAAAAGGAAAAGTTGGGAAATGTACCTCATAGATTGGAGGAAGTAAGGCTAAGATTGGCGATTTTAAAGGAAGGTACGAGAAATAAGGATTCCCATAGATTGGAGCAAGAAATCAAAAGAGAGTTGCATGAAATGAACTGTTAGATGCGCAAATATAGTGGCTAAAGGAAGGGGATCGTAACACATCTTTCTTCCACACTTGGGCATCACAAAGACAAAGAACAAATAGCATAAATAACTTGAAAAATGACCAAGGAATATGGTGTGATAGCCATGAAGAAATTGAGCAAGTTGCAGAGTGTTATTTTAAAACATTATTTTCATCATCATGAACTTGCAAAGAGAACTTAGAAATTGTGCTAAGAGAAGTAGACCACAAAGTGTCAGATGCTATGAATGCAAGCCTAATATGGTGGTTTCAAGTGGATGAGGTAAAGCTCGCCCTTTTCCCAAATGTATCCCACCAAGTCACCGGGACCCGACGGTTTGTTTGTTCTTTTCTTCCAAAAATACTGGAATATCATTGGTACCGATATCCTTCGTTGAGTATTACCTTTTTTAAATGGACCTACTTTTCTTATAAAATAGAACTACACTCACATCGTGTTGATCCCAAAGTGCCCTAATCCCGAAAAAACATGTTCCAATTTCTCCCCATAAATTTATGGAATGCATTACACAAACCTATCTTGAAAGTTTTAGAAAACTGGTTAAAATTGGGATCAGTGTGTTTTCATCCTTGGTCGAAAATCAATGTGTTTTCATCCTAGGTCGTCATATCACAGATAACATTTTAGTAGCTTTCGAGCTTAATCATTTTCTCAAATGCAAAACTTGAGGGAAGCATGGTCATATTTCTTTAAAACTAGATATGAGCAATCGGGTAGAGAGGATTTTCCTTGATAAAATAATGAAAAAGTTGGGTTTTGATAGAAGATGAATCTCCCTAATAACACAGTGTGTCAATTCAGTTTCATACTCTCTGATGTTAAATTCCAACCACTGTGATTTTTTCTCTCTAGAGATAGCCCTTCATCAAGGGGACCTCTTATCTTCTTATCTCTTCCTTATTTGTGTAGAAGAGATGTCGGCTTTCTTAAAGACAACTAAGCGAGATGGGCTCTTACTAGTGTGTCGGTAGGAAGGGGTTGCCTAAGAATTTCACATTTGTTCTTCGTTGACTGGCAATCTATTAGTTTTCAATGCTTTCATCTTCGAAGCAAGAGAGGTTCAAAAGAATTTAAAGACTTATGAGTGGGCTTCGAGACAAAAAATTAATTTAGGGAAGTCAGCATTCGTGTGTAGCAAAAATGTATCCATAGAGAGAGCGGAAGAACTTCAAGCAATTCTAGGGGTACAATCTGTCAAANACGCTTTCATCTTCGAAGCAAGAGAGGTTCAAAAGAATTTAAAGACTTATGAGTTGGCTTCGAGACAAAAAAAATAATTTAGGGAAGTCAGCATTCGTGTGTAGCAAAAATGTATCCATAGAGAGAGCGGAAGAACTTCAAGCAATTCTAGGGGTACAATCTGTCAAAGCACATGACCAACACTTAGGTTTCCCAACCATAATGGGTAAATTTAGGTCTTCAAGGGAACAAGAGAAAGAATGTGGAGGAAAATGAAAGGATGGAATGAGCAATTTTTATCGCANCGAAGCACATGACCAACACTTAGGTTTCCCAACCATAATGGGTAAATTTAGGTCTTCAATGGAACAAGAGAAAGAATGTGGAGGAAAATGAAAGGATGGAATGAGCAATTTTTATCGCAAGCCGACAAGGAAGTTTTAATTAAAGCAGTCACTCAAGATATACCAACTTATGCAATGGGTTGTTTTAAACTTCCAGAGCTCTTGTCTGTCTAGTTGGAATCCTTGAAATCAAATTTTTGGTGGAGTCAAAAAAATGGGGAGAGGAAAGTGCATTAGGTAAGCACACCAAATATGTGCAAGAGAAAATCAAAAGGGGGTATGGGGTTCCAAGATCTTAAAGCCTTCACATACCGTCCTACATAAAGTCCTGAAATCCAAATATTTCCCTTCGTCAACATTTATGGAAGCTAATCTTGGTATTCAGCCATCTTATACTTGGTGAAGCATCTTTGCTTCATGAAAAGTAATTGAAGCAGTTTCAAGGTGAAAAATTGGAAATGGAACAAGGGTGAAGATATGGTAGGACAAATTGATCCCTATTCCAAAAACCTTTATGTGTGTAGCACCCCTAAACATTCTAAGTGTGAATGCCATGATTAGCGAATTAATTGCAGCGGGACCAATCAGTGGGATAAACAGTTATTGGATATCATTTTTTTCCCCATGACGCTGTAGCTATTAAGAATATTTTTCTAGCTGACCCTATTAAGGGAGACAAATTGATCTGGCATTACAACAAAAATGGGAAATTTATAGTGTGAAATACCTTTTATGTAGCAGTCGAACAAAACTTGGCAACCACTGAACAATTATTGGTTTCAAGTAGTGTAGAGACGGAGAATTGGAACTTTCTCTTAAATCAAAGAATCCCAAGTAAAGTCAAGATCTTTATCTGGAGGTTTTATTTGAATACTTTAACCACTAATGACAATCTCCAACGTAGGAAAATTAGGCTAGATGATATGTGTTGTATGTGTCGAAGAGATGCTGAAACGAAAATGCACATCTTCTAAGAATGTTATTGGGCAAGACTCTCATGGCAGATGAGATCTATCCATAGAATTGTTCACTTGCCCACCATAAAGTCCTCTTCAATGGGTGCAAGGTACCATCATTTACTAAGGTTACATTTGGCAACCGCTTGTTTTTTTTTTTTCAATTTTTTACCAAAAAACAAATACATTTTTGGGATGTGTATTCATTTTTTTTTCAATCCAATTTGTTTTGAAAACAAGTCCAGATTTTGCAGACAAGAAATTGATGTTTTCTAAAACACCAAAAACTCAAAACACGTTTGCGCTTGGGAGGGGTTTAATGAGGTCTCACATTTGAACCCTGTTAGTAGCAATTTACATGTTTTTTAGCCCTATTCTCCCTATCGATTGTCTCTCTAACTTTGTCGTCTGTCTCTCTCTTGGTGATAACCAATGAGCAACCAGCAACCATCGACTGTTGATAACAACCAGAGTATTGACCGATCTACAAGAGCAACTAACAAATCTGACTAGAGTTGTCTCCCAATATCTCAAATATGTTTTCTCTCCCTCTCTCTGACGCCCCAAAATTTGGGGGCCTGTTATTAACCCGTTAATCACCTATCAACCTATTGAATAACCCATGATACCGTTTAACTCGATAATATGTAGTGATACCCCATTCATCAGGGTCCATAACTTTAACAAAATTTGGGCAGAGTTTTCTTTGTACTGGGAGTTCTATTCAAAATATAACCTAAACCTAAGTAACCCTAATGACCACACCGGGTCCAATATCAACATCCAAGATGTTGAATATTAACTAACAACCATTCATGTATAACAAACATTCATTATCGAAAGGAATAAATACACAACACCAACATACATGCCTTTAATCCAAAATATACAAATCTTTGTATAAATCATTACAAGACCAAAAATAATTACAATGGGACTACAATTCCAAAATGGGAGCCTAACTCCGACTCCATTGTCAAAGTGGGCCTATAGGAGGGCCTTCAACAGAAACACGTGCGATACCTAAAAAATGTTTTCATGAAGGGTGAGCCAATGCTCAACAGGGTATCTCCTATGGAGATCACCTTCCAACCCATATGCATATGAAATGTTCCATAATCATAATCTCTTTCAAACATTCATTCACATATGTACTACGTGAATAATGTTATACACTAGGGGTGACAATTTTTGATACGACACGATAACCCGATACGAAACACGATACGAATAAATGAGTTTGAGTTGACTAATTTTTTGACACGACCCGCGTATGACACGACCCGCCAACACAAAGTGTTAATGGGTTGTGTTCGGGTTCAACCCGTTTAACACG